GGCCTTCACGCCTTCGACTGTGATCGCCGCGCAGTCGACTACGTTGAGCTCGCGCAGATTCGAGAGGCTCGAAAGGCCGTAGACCGCCGCGTCGGTGACGCGCGAGTCCTGCAGAGAGAGGGACCGTAGATTTGGAAAGCATTGGACTATGGACTCCAAATCTTTGTCGGTGATCTCGTGGCGGCTGAACTGCAGCGCGACCAAAGTCGCCCGCACCTCCCGCCACGAACTAGTGCTCGACCAGCCAAGGTGGAAAACGTCCGCAGTTTCGAGCCACTCCGAAACGCACGCGACCAAAGGCGTCTGGAAGACCGAGGAGGAATACGCGGGGCGGGTTTGGGCCTTAGCGGCGCGAGTGCGGCGTGGCTTCATCGCGCCTACTCGCTCCCGACGCTGAGCCAATTGTGCCACTGGCGTCAGTGCCAGTGGCGAGCGCCGATGACAGTCGTTGTCCGGTGGGGTCCAGTGCGGCGCGCCGAACCCAGACGGCCTCCAAACAGCGCAAGACCGACGCATCATGTTTACAGAAGCGGCCGCCGCGCCGCGCGATCAGCCCGCGGTCCCCCTAGGTGATCTGGTAGTTGGGCCCGCCGCCGCCCTCGGGCACGGTCCACTGGACGTACTCGAAGGGCATCTTGATGGAGCAGCACTTGCAGTGGACGCAGTTCTGGGCGTTGATGACGAGCTCCGGGTCGCCGTCGGCGTCGTCGGCGTACTCGTAGACGCCCGCGGGGCAGAAGTTGGCCTCGGGCGCGCCGTGCTCCTTCAACGACCGCGCGGCCTTGCCGAGGACCTCGGACGCGAGCTCGGGCTTGACGCGGAGGTGGCTCGGCTGGTCCGCGTGGTCGACAACGGCGCGCGCCAGGTTGTCGAGGAGCGGGAAGCTCAGCTTGCCGTCGGGCTTCGGGTAGTCGATGGGCTTCGCCTTGGGGTCGTCCGATTTGACCGTCGTCTGCGAGTCGACGTGGTCGTGGGAGAACGTCCACGGCTCCTTGCCGCGGAGCACGTAGGCGGAGAGGCCCGAGTAGGCGACGCCGCCGTAGAGCCCCCACTTGCCGAAGGCGGGCTTGTAGTTGCGCACCGCGTGGAGCTCCTCGCGGATCCACGACGACTCGAACGCCGCCTGGTAGCCCTACGGGCTCCGCGCCGTAGGCGGCCTCCTCGTCCTCCGCCGTCGCCCGGACGCAGTCGAAGACGGCCT